TGGGCTGCCTCCACACATAAACTCGCCCTGAAAGTGAGAAAAGAGAAAAACTGGACTTGTTTGAGAATATGACTTGCTTCCATTGGTCTGTGGACCAGGCATTGGGATCTCTGCACCACTTCAACCTCTTTTCAATTTTGCGAGTGGAGAGAAGAGGTTTCCTCACAGCGGATCCTCCATGCTATGCAGCCTTATGGAACTCACGGTGAACAGTTTTAGTAGAAACTGAACTATTCAGATGGTTATTCAACTCAGCAGTCACTTTGGCCGCATTTGTCCGATGATGTTTTTGCCACATTGCGTTTCAATGTACGTCACTGTCAGTAAGTTTGCAAGTCCGGCCCGAATTGCTACGGTTGCTAGTGGTCTTGCCTTGTTTCTCGAATTGCATCAGTGTTCTTGATATGGTAGCTCTTGAAAAACCAAACAGTTCAGCAACCTTAGTGATCAAGGCTCCTGCCATGCGAGCTCCAATAAATTTCTCTTTTTCGAACACAGAGAGGTCACGCATTTAGCTTAAATTTTACTAAATTCTAAAAATTAATGAGACAAAGACAGTAAATTAGATAAATAAACGTATTTAATAGATATAACCTGCAATTACGAAGTTTTAGTTAGAGTTCTTAATATAATAGGTCTTTGAAATATAAGGGTGGATTTTGCAACTGTTCCAATTATTTTGTCCAACCCCTATATATATATATATATATATATATATATATATATATATATATATATATATATATATATTCCTGATTGGAAAATTTAAGAATATAAAACCTCCTATACATGATTACATTTGCATTCAATACATGCAGATTTATAGTAAAATTATGACATTTATGAAATAAAGTTTTGCCAAGTATAATTGACTTTCAGTGATTTACGTTGCTGTAATGAAACAAAAACCTAAGCTAAGTTCTTGGCATTAACTATGCTCTATTTACCTGTGTAGAGTTAACACAGAGGTAGAGGCTCCAGCTAAGGGGAAGTATCTGGTTTACGGCAACAGAAAAAAAAGCGAAAACTGCTGCTCGAGAGAATTGGTAACTTTACCAGCTGCGTCACACTTGTGGCCGAGAGCCAGATAAAAAAATAAGTTTAGTGTTGCAATTGTGTTCCGTTTTCAGTAGTGAGTTCCTCCCTGATTTAAAATCAACATTCGAAATATTTTTTCTGGGTATCTGCCGGAAGCACATATGCAAACATATATACTTCCGGCAGATACTCAAAAGTTATCAAATGTGAAGGCTGGTCGCTAAAGACATTCTACCTTCACATTTGATAATTTCTCTTTTAATGCAAGCAATCACTGATAATATATGTTTCCTGCAAACCAGAAACATTTCATGCTCCTCCCTTTTCGAGCAGGTTCGTCTAATTTTTTTTTCTCATTGTCTTATAAATGGTATTTTTTTTTTATTCTTTTTGCAACATAGAGCCTGGTCAGTATCAAGATGGGTGACCGCTTGGGAATATCAGGTGAGGTAAGCTTGGATGTGCGGGTGGTGTAATGGATAATGGCTCGGAAATTTTAATCGAAAAGCCGAACTCCGATTCCAGTTGAGTTCGTTATATTCGACAAAAGGCATAGAATCTGTTCGTGATTACTAGAAACAAGTTTGAAATTGTTGTCTTTAATTTTAGGCCAAAGACGACATGATCAAATTTGAGTCTGTCTATATTTCTGAGATGATGTATTATGTACATTATTGACATTGTTCGGACTGTTGTCCTCATCTTTGTCGCCATATTTATTACAACATTTCGAACGTTGTACGCTCCGGCCTTCTTCAGGTGGTTGGAATGTCGAACTGAACCCTTTATTTCGCTCACAGGAGTAGACTGTTATGGTTCCACGTGCCATGTTTGATAGATGTCAGTTATCAGTTATCTCCAACATTCGAAATATTTTTATCGCCTTTATCCACTGTGCCATGTGTCCTCAAGGACACATGGCACAGTTTATAAAGGTGTTGGTTAGATCCAGTGACAGGACCCAAAGAGTGAGAGTTCAATACCCGGTTAAGGCAGTGGAGAACTTTCAGAGGGAAATTAGCAGGAGATAACTGATAACTGACATCCATCAAACATGGCACGTGGAACTAGAACAATCTACCAAAGTGAGCGAAATAAAGGGTTCAGTTCGACATTCCAAACACCTGAAGAAGGCCGGAACGTACAACGTTCGAAATGTTGTAATAAATATGGCGACAAAGATGAGGATAACAGTCCGAATAATGTAAATAATGATCAAATTTGAATTCGAAACTTGCAATTGGATTTCTTTCCGATGTATATAAATATAAAAGGTGATAATCATATTAAAAGATTTAACAAATATATAGCCCTGATTCGTGTTTCGAAGCATACCTCTTAAATCGGCCTATCCGATAAGTCACGTGGTTTATTGACTATATATGAATAAAGAAAAAGGCAAAATCATCTTAGCCGACGCGTTTTGTTCTCTGATGGAAATCACTAAGACAATTTTAAGGATTTTATTTTGCAGCAAGTATTTATAAACAATAATAAAAATGTTATTTTAAAAAAAAAAATTAAAAAAAAATCATTCTTAAAGAAATTAAGAAACGCTTATAAATATTCATCAGGTTAACTGAAAATTAAGAAGAAAACCATTACAAATTGCCGCAAAGAAACAAAAAATCATCGCAATATAATCGTTAAAAAAGCAGACAAAGTGAATATCTTTGTTGTTTTGAACAAATCAGATTATAATACAAAACTAGAACAAATACCTAATGTTTGTGATTTGAAGAACTCAATTTTCGGCTCAAATTGGAGTTTCGGCCAAATCGGTCTTTTTGTCGGGAATTGGATTTATTAGCTCCAGTTAAAGCGAGGTTTTGAACATCCATGCGGTGAACTGAGGTATTCAAAATTATTTCTTCAAAATTATCATTGCTGTTTTTCTAAGCTGGATCAGAGGTCGCTTTAGTTTCGAAGTGCGGCTTTTAAAGGTAGTTACTAATTAAAGCAAGCGCGCGCACACACATACACACTTTCTCTCTCTCTCTCTTTCACACACACACACACACACACACACACACATATATATATATATATATATATATATATATATATATATATATATATATATATATATATATGAGGCCCGGTGGAGTAATGGTTTAGCGGCTCGGATTGGGGAGCAGAGTTCGAATTCCAGTCGAATCCATTACATTTACTCACATGCTAATACCCTTGGGAAAGTTATGAATCCTCTTCTTCTTCCCCACTATGGGTAAAGAGTAGGACAGACAGGGTTCTATAGCCTTGGATAGCAACAGGATTAGGAGAAGGAAAACTCTGAATTCAAATCTGCGAAGGGTCGTTTGGTGTGTGGCGCGTAGTGCACAAGGGTTCTGTATTCGGCTCTTCAAAGAGTGTGGTTGGTACTGCACAAAACCCTTATCACTACAATTAAATCATATGTGCAGGTGTTTGGCTGTCGTTTCCTAGGTAATGAGTTACTTGACCCTCATACGTCGAAAACGACGGGATTGTCCACCATATATATATATATATATATATATATATATATATATATATATATATAATATATATATATATGCATTTCATTAAAGATGACATTTTCAAGGTTGAAATATATTAACTGTTAACTAGAAATAGATAGATAGATAGATAGATAGATAGATAGATAGATATGAACGTAATGAGATAGATAGATAGATAGATAGATAGATAGATAGATAGATAGATAGATAGATAGATATGAACGGAATTAGATAGATAGATACATACATATATACATAGATATGAACGGAATTAGATAGATAGATAGATAGATAGATAGATACATACATACATACATACATACATACATACATAGATATGAACAGAATTAGATAGATAGATAGATAGATAGATAGATAGATAGATAGATAGATATGAACGGAATTAAATAGTTAGATACATACATACATACATGCATACATAAATACATACATAGATTGACAGATTGTGATAGTTACATGCACTCACACATTGTGATAGATAGATAGATAGATAGATAGATAGATAGATAGATAGATAGATAGAAGTGTATATATAGAGAGAAAAGAACTGAATTTTTATTTATTAATCCGACAGATTTGTCAAAAACTTTTCTGAAACCTTTTGGAAGGTACCTCGTATATACAAAAACGACTAATCAACACTTAAATGTCTATCAAATGTTTGAAAATGCTCCCAGAATCCTCTTTGCGAAAATTAAACGCGGAATAATCTGTAGAAAAGCGGTTTATCTTGAAACGAAAATAGTGGAAAAGTTTTGAGCACATTTTATGAACCTCTGTTTAATGTCCGTTAAGATGGTCGTTGAGAGAGGCAAGGCTTTTTAGTAAGTAGTACTTGGCCGGTGCTAAAGTTGAAAAATCTGATTACAGATGTAACGCAACGAACATTTCCCACCGTGTTTTCGATAAACACATGTTAAAAATTGAAATAAAAAAAAAAGTGCTCACGCATACAAGTGTTTGGGAAGAGAAAGCGGTTCACTCGGTTCAAAACATGTTCTAATCACTCGTGTACTCGCATATATACACGTACACATGAATACACATTAGCAGGCGTACACCTGTTTCCTATCCTGTCTAATGAACCGGGACAAATTTGCGTATACATAGTATCAATCTGGAAAAAAAGGCGACAAATTTAATTTGTTTTATTTTATCCTACTACCATTACAAGTAAATATTTTGTTATATTTGATTTTTCTGGGGAATCGTAAGTCTTAATTTAATGATTGGATAAGTTTGCAAGTTCTTTGATTATAAAATACCCGTGGAAATTTCTCTATTGTATCGGTAAATATTTGGGATTAACAACTTTAACAAAATATTGCAGTAACAATCGTAAGTCTGAATGCAGGTCATTTTTTAAAGAAGTAAGAGGATACAAATGAAATTATTAAAAATTATAAGGTTTTTCAATTCACTAAAGCAGACGTTAAAATTATGAGAGGCTTAACGCCTCCTCTACCTTCCGTTTCTTTCTTTCTTTCTTTCTTTTTCAGTCTTTATTTATTTATTTATTTATTATATCTTCCTTTCTTATTTCTTTCTTTCTTTCTTACTTGCTTTTTTCAGTTCTTCTTTCTTTCTTTCTTTTTCAGTCTTTATTTATTTATTTATTTATTATATCTTCCTTTCTTATTTCTTTCTTTCTTTCTTGCTTTTTTCAGTCTTTCTGTCTTTCTTTCTTTCTTTCTTCATTCTTTCTTCTGTCTTTCTTTCTTTCTTATTTCTTTCCACATTCTTTTTTCTTTTCTTTCTTCTCTCTTTCTTTTTCTTCCTTCTGTCTGTCTGTCATTCTTTCTTTCTTTCTTTCTTTCTTTCTTTCTTTCTACATTCTTTCTTTATTCTTTCTTCCTTTCTGTCTTTCTCTTTCCTACTTTCTTTCTTTTTTCAATCTTTCTTTCTTTCTTTTTTCTTTCTTTCATTCTTTCTTTCTTACTTCTTTATACATTCTTTTTTCTTTCTCTCTTCTGTCTTTCTTTCTTCTTTCTTTCTTCTTTCTTTCTTCATTCTTTCTTTTTCTCGCTAAAATCAATCAGGTTCTTTAATATATCTTCTGTCCGTCTTTTCGCGAATGAAATTTGAAGTGATATGACATCAATAATGTAATGGCCTAGGTGAATTATATGTTGCATCAGGATGGAGAATAAATTGCCTTTATCAACATTCTCCGGACTGGGGTGAGTGTGAATATCTAAACCTTAGATTTTTTTTAAATAGATCCTACCCATGATATCACTTTATATATATGGAATTTGCATATAAATATTTTATATTAAGCCACAAATCGCAGCATAATGCGATTTTGCAATATTATTCTAGTTCATGTTTTCAAATAATCTTCTAGAGAAGCCAAATATATCTGATATAATATTTAAGATAGTTTGTGTGCCAGTGAAGAAACTACCAACATAGAACTTACGCTTTCCTTTAGCAATTTAGTAAAATGTTGAGATCTAACTGCCAACTGAGTACTAGAGTTTAATTCTTGAAGTCCAGATACCAAAGACGAGAGCCAATCAAAACAATTTCCACAAAAACTATTATAAAACAAAGACACAAGGAGAATACGTTACATCGATGAAAAAGTTACTGAAGCTGAGATGCCAGGTAGGGGCCGATATCATTGCAGATTCTTCTTTGGATTTTGTCAAGAATTTCTAGATACAAACCAGAGACACCAGACCAATTATGATAGAAATATTCGATACACGGTCGACCGGTTGTGTCTGGGAGATTCAGGTGAGTAAAAATGTCTAGCTCGACACACTCAATCAACTTTGTTGGGAGAATACTTGACAGTTGATTCGATATAATCATTTGAATCTAAATCAGTGAAAAACGTGAGACCGTGAAGTCGTAATGAGTCAGTCTTTTGGAAGTTAGCATCAGCCATTCTGATGGAAACCAAAAAGGGTTCTCTACAGCAATTAAAGAGAGCAATTCAGTTTTGGAAATGTAAACATTAACAAGCCATTTCTTGCCCCAGCTAACAACTGATTGAACGTCATTTTCAAGATCGGCTACCAATTCGACCTTATCGAACTTCTCAGACTTACTATTAAGACTATTAAGTAAATAGTTGTTCCATCGCAATAAATGCAGAGCCGAGAAATGATGACATCTTGAAGGTTATTAATAAAAGTTAAGTACAAAGTAGTCCCGAGAATAGAGCCCTAAGTGACACGCGCATTTATATAGAAATATCTAGAAAGTGCGGTCATAAATTCACTTCTCGATTTGATAAGAAAGATTGACTCAAATGAAACATTTGACCAAAAACACCATAGCCCTTCTATTTGTGAGAAAGACCAGCATATCAACCCCTGTCAAACATCTTCCAAACATATTTGTTTGACAGAAGATACCACAGGGTGAGATGCTTAATCAATTCAGAATTGAGTAAAATTTATCAGTATCTATCTATGCTTCACTTTCTTTCGTTCTTTCTTTCTTTCTTTCTTTCTTTCTTTCTTTCTTTCTAAGTCATCTATCTGAATTTAGTTATTTGTCTATCCAGAGTCTATGCATATCTATCTATCTATCTATCTATCTATCTATCTATCTATCTAAGCCATCTATCTGAGTTTAGTTATTTGTCTATCCCGAGTCTACGCATATCTATCTATCTATCTATCTATCTATCTATCTATCTATCTATCTATCTGAGTTTAGACATCTGTCTATCTGAGTTTAGTCATTTATCTAGCAGAATCTATTCATATCTCTCTATCTATCTGTCTATCTATCTGAGTTTAGACATCTGTCTATCTGAGTTTAGTCATTTATCTATCTAATCTATTCATATCTATCTATCTATCTATCCATCTATCTGAGTTTATCTATCTATCTATCTATCTATCTATCTATCTATCTATCTATATCTATCTATCTATCTATCTATCTATCTATTTAGACATTTGTCTATCTGAGTTTAGTCATTTATCTAGCAGAATCTATTCATATCTATCTATCTATCTATCTATCTATCTATCTATCTATCTATCTATCTATGAGGTAATATCACTAATTCCCGGGCTGTACGTGTTGCGATTACACATTTTTACGGAAATACAGGCTCTCATAATGCTCATTCGTTCTCAGCTTACTGAGTCAGTCCGATAATAGACAGATTGCAATTGCACTCGTGTGCAATTATTACACTGAGCTTGGAACGTTGCCTTCGTAGAGCTTTACAATCTTTACGATGGCTGATAAAGTCAAACAACGTCTTTATGTCAGATGTTGTGTAAATCTGTAACCGAAACCTTTGAAATGTGTTTGTTGCCTTTTGACGAATATTGTTTGCGTAGAACACAGGATTTTATGTGATCCGCTCGTTTCAGGGCCGGTTGAGTGTCGGTTCAAGAATACGAGCGTTCAATGCGACCAGTCACCATCAAGATTATTGTTTATTTAAATATTTTATGTAATAAGCAATTTACTGAAATTCATACTACGGTCACTGCCCTCTTTAAGAGCGACGTTTGAATGGGAGAAGTGTTTCGATGTTACAAAATAATTATTGGCTTCCAGTCATGAATGGAGTTGATTGTTTCTGGTCGATTTGTACATAATTAATAACTGTTGAAATCTGTGATATACAGAAAGAACTTGGAGCTTTTAGGTGGACTGTGCATTTCATGGACAGTCGAGTGTTGTTTCAAGATAAAGCATTCAGAGAGGACACTATCCAACTTAATGTTTTTTAAAAAATAATTTATATAATAATCATTTTACTAGTGTAATGGTGAATATTTATAGATCTAGTCTGTATATTTTTGATACAGCCTCGTATTTACTTACATTATTTATATTATCCAGATTGTTATCCTCATCTTTATCGCCATATTACACAACAGTTTGGATCTCTGAGATGTATCATGATTACTTGCATTATTTACATTACCTTCTTCATCTTCATTGCCATCTTCACAGATTGGATCTCTAACCTCCTTCAGGTGATTGGGTGTCTGAGATGAGTTATTAAGATTACTTGCATTATTTACAATATTCGGACTGTTATCCTCATCTTCATTGCCACATTCACGATGTTTCGGACGTGGTACGCTCCAGCCATCTTCAGAAGAATATGGCAACGACGATAGGGATAATGCTCTGGGGCTAATGCAAGTAACTCTTCATCTCAGGTCCATTGAAGAAAAAGCGGAGCGTACATCGACTGAAAACGTTGAGATATGTCAACGACGATGAGGATAATATTTAAATAATGGAAATAATGTTATCCTCTCGGAGAGCCAATCACCTTCGGGCGTGCATCACAATATGGCAACGACGATGAGGATAATAGTCTAAATAATGTAAATAATGCAAGTAATAATAATATCTCATCTCGGAGAGCCAATCACCTGAAGAACAGCGGGGCGTACATCGGCCGAAACGTTGTGAATATGGCAACGACGATGAGGATAATAGTCTAAATAATGTAAATAATGCAAGTAATAATAATATCTCATCTCAGAGATCCAATCACCTGAAGAAGGGCGGAGCGTACATCGGCCGAAACGTTGTGAATATGGCAACGACGATGAGGATAATAATCTAAATAATGTAAATAATGCAAGTAATAATAATATCTCATCTCGGAGAGCCAATCACCTGAAGAACAGCGGGGCGTACATCGGCCGAAACGTTGTGAATATGGCAACGACGATGAGGATAATAGTCTAAATAATGTAAATAATGCAAGTAATTATAATACTTCATCTCGGAGATCCGATCACCTGAAGAAGGGCGGAGCGTACATCGGCCGAAACGTTGTGAATATGGCAACGACGATGAGGATAATAATCTAAATAATGTAAATAATGCAAGTAATCATATCTCATCTCGGAGTTATACCTGAAGAACAGCGGGGCGTACATCGAAACGTTGTGAATATGGCAACGACGTATTTTAAATAAAAATAATGCAAGTAATTATAATACTTCATCTCGGAGATCCGATTGAAGAAGGGCGGAGCGTACATTCTGTTGTGAATATGGCACGACGATGAGGATAATAATCTTATAAATTGCAAGTAATAATAATATCTCATCTCGGAGAGCCAATCACCTGAAGAACATTACATCGGCCGAAACGTTGTTATGGCAAAACAAATAATGAAATAATGCAAGTAATTTTCTTCATCTCGGAGATCCGATCACCTGAAGAAGGGCGGAGCGTACATCAATCAAACGTTGTGAATATGGCAACGACGATTAATAGTCTAAATAATTAAATAATGCAAGTAATTTTTTTTTTTTACATCGGCCGAAACGTTTATTATGGCCGACGATGAGGATAATTCTAAATAATTTAATTTTTTAATATTCATCTCGGAGAGCAATCACCTGAAGAACTTTTTAGTTGACATCGGTCGAATTATGGCAACGACGATGAGGATAATAGTCAAATAATAATCTTCATCTCGGAGAGCCAATCACCTGAAGAATATCAACCTCTATATAACGACGATAATTAGTCATCTAAATAATGTAAATAATTTTAATAATTATTTTTTCTCGGAGGCCAATCACCTGAAGAACAGCGGGGCGTATTTCGGCCGAAACGTTTCCTGAATATTGCAGGTTTGATGAGGATAATAGTCTAAATAATGTAAATAATGCAAAATTATAATACTTCATCTCGGAGATCCGATCACCTGAAGAAGGGCGGAGCGTACATCGCCCGAAACGTTGTGAATATGGCAACGTGAGGATAATAATCTAAATAATGTAAATAATGCTTAATAATATCTCATCTCGGAGAGCCAATCACCTGAAGAACAGCACATCGGCCGAAACGTTGTGAATATGGCAACGACGATGAGGATAATAGTCTAAATAATGTAAATAATGCAAGTAATAATAATATCTCATCTCAGAGGCCAATCACCTGAAGAAGGGCGGAGCGTACATCGGCCGAAACGTTGTGAATATGGCAACGACGATGAGGATAATAGTCTAAATAATGTAAATAATGCAAAAGATAATATCTCATCTCGAGAGCCAATCACCTGAAGAACAGCGGGGCGTACATCGGCCGAAACGTTGTGAATATGGCAACGACGATTAATAGTCTAATAATAATATCTCATCTCGGAGGTAATCAAGGGCGGGCGTACATCGGCCGAAACGTTGTGAATATGGCAACGGCGATGATAATAATCTAAATAATGTAAATAATGCAAGTAAAACTCATCTCGAGAGCCAATCACCTGAAGAACAGCAGGGCGTACATCAAACGTTGTGAATATGGCAACGACGATGAGGATAATAGTCCAAATAATGTAAATAATGCAAGTAATAATAATATCTCATCTCGGAGAGCCAATCACCTGAAGAAGGGCGGAGCGTACATCATCAAACGTTGTGAATATGGCAACGACGATGGGGATAATAGTCTAAATAATCTAATGCAAGTAATAATAATATCTCATCTCGGAGAGCCAATCACCTGAAGAACAGCGGGGCGTACATCAGCCGAAACGGTTCGACGATGAGGATAATAGTCTAAATAATGTAAAATAATGGTAATTATAATACTTCATCTCGGAATCACCTGAAGAAGGGCGGAGCGTACATCGGCCGAAACGTTGTGAATATGGCAACGACGATGGGATAATTCTAAATAATGTAAATAATGAAATAAAATATCTCATCTCGGAGAGCCAATCACCTGAAGAACAGCGGGGCGTACATCGGCCGAAACGTTGTGAATATACAACGACGATGAGGATAATAGTCTAAATAATGTAAATAATGCAAGTAATTATAATTTCATCTCGGAAATCCGATCACCTGAAGAAGGGCGGAGCGTACATCGGCCGAAACGTTGTGAATATGGCAACGACGATGATGGTTCTAAATAATGAAATAATGCAAGTAATAATAATATCTCATCTCGGAGAGCCAATCACCTGAAGAACAGCACCGAAACGTTGCAATATGGCAACGACGATGAGGATAATAGTCTAAATAATGTAAATAATGCAAACAATTATAATAAATCTCGGAGATCCGATCACCTGAAGAAGGCGGGCGTACATCAGCCGAAACGTTGTGAATATGGCAACGGCGATGAAGGATAAAAGTCGAATAATGAAATAATGCAAGAATCATATCTCATCTCGGAGTTATAGTATTTTAAACACTTCTGTTGCATATTTTGCTCTATTCTGTGCAAACACGATTACATTTCTTTTTTTGTTTTAATTCTTTTTTCAATTAGTCTTCAAAATTTGTTTTTCAAAACAAAGACAGATTTTCTACTTAGTAATTAAAAATCAACAATTCTTTTTTTTTTTTTTTCTTTTATTTACCCCCCGTATAGATTTTTCATATATTTGTTTTTTTTTCTTCATCTTGATTCTCATTTCTTTCTTTTAGTTTCTTTTTCGGATACTCATCTTTCTTCGCTCTTTTATTCTCTATATATAATATTTATATTTTTGTCTATTTTTTTCGCTGTTTCGTTTTTTTTTCATTTCTCTTTCTATATGCTATTTCTTTCTTTCTTTTCCTATATGTTGTAGGCTTGCGGCCACATGACGTTGAAACACTGACTTGTCTTAATGATGTCATCCTTCCCAGTCATTCATCACAGTTGGTAAGCACGTCCTTCTAAAAATCCTACAAGGATTCATCATTGGCGGCCACAATCGAAACAGCATACGCAAAAGGCACAGTGCTGATAGCAAACATGGAAAAGAAATCCAAAAACATTCTACAGAAGGTAACTAAGGAAAACGAGCAGAAGGAACTAAACATTTTCAGAATCATGGTCATCAGCAAAAAGATGAACCCTTTGCGATTTACTTCAGGGGACACTAAAATCAAGCAGGTGGGGAAATTTAAATATCTGGGAATAGTACTGACAGTCTGTGTGATGCAGAGGTTCGAAGACATATTGCGATGGTCAAAGACGCATTCCAAAATCTAGGCAACGAGACAGGAGGATTTTGTTGGTAAGAAATAAAAGAGTCCTGAGCTGTTGCGTGACATCTGTCTTCATTTACGGCAGCGAATGTTGGACGATTTCCTCAAAGATGAAAAAGAGACTCGAGGCAACGGATGTATGGTTCTACAGAAGAATGCTAAGGATACCAAAGACTGAACATGTGAGCAATGGTGAGGTTTTGAAGAGGATGCAAACAAGGAGAAAGCTTATAGTTAACATCAGGAAGGGGCAGCTGAAATTTCTGGGATGCATAATGAGAAAGGAAGAATTTTTATTTAGGTTTATTATTTGTTCCTTCTCTGGCTACGCTACTTTCTTTCTTTTTTACTTTTTTCTTTCTTTCTTTTGTTTTTTGTCTTTCTTCTTTTAATTTCTTTTTTCGTATATTCATCTTTCTTCTTTTCTTTTCCTACATTCCATGTATTTTTTTTTTAACTTTTTCCCATTTTATTCGTTATTGTCTCTTACAACATTTCTTTCATTCTTTTTCTTTGTTTCTTTTTTGTCTCTTCGCATAGTCTCCATTTTTACTTCACTTTTTCTGTCTTTCTTTGTCTTCTTTTTTCGCATTTCCATTTTTTCACACTAGATTCCTTTCTTTCTTTATTGTCTTTTTATATAGTCTCCATCTTTTCCTTCACTCTTTCTTTCTTTCTTTCTTTGTCTTCTTTTTATATAATTTCCATCTTTTTCTTCACTTTTTCTAGATTTCTTTCTTTCTCTCTTTCTTTTCTTCTTATATAGTCTCCATTTTTTACCTAATATTTGCTAGGTTCATTTCTTTCTATGACTTCTTTTTATATAGTCTCCATGTTTACCATTAACTTTTTCTTTATTTCTTTCTTTCTTTCTTTCTTTCTTTCTTTCCATCATTCCTTGATTTTTAATATAGTTTCCATTTTCCCTTACTTTTTTTTTCAATCTTTCTTTTTTTTTTCTTTCTTTCTTTCTTCTTTCTTTCTTTCTTTTTTCTTTCTTTCTCGTTTCTTTTTTATATCGTTTCCATATTTCCCTCATTCATTCTTTCTTTCTTTCTTTCTTTCTTTATTTATTTATTTATTTATTTTAATATCGTCTCCATGTTATCTTTTATTTATTTCTAGATTTCTTTCACTACGTTTTTTTTTTCTAAATTTGTCTTTTTTCTCTTCGCATTATTTTTTTTCACTATATCCTTTCTATTTTTCTTTCCTTTTTTTTTCGTATTTCCATCACCCTTTCTTTTTTTTCTTCCTTTTCTCTTATTTCCATCACCCTTTCTTTTTTCTTCCTTTTCTCTTATTTCCATCACCCTTTCTTTTTTTTCTTCCTTTTCTCTTATTTTCCTCAACCTTTCTTTTTTCTTCCTTTTCTCTTATTTCCATCACCCTTTCTTTTTTTTCTTCCTTTTCTCTTATTTCCATCACCCTTTCTTTTTTCTTCCTTTTCTCTTATTTCCATCACCCTTTCTTTTTTTTCTTCCTTTTCTCTTATTTCCATTCCCCTTTTCTTTTTTCTTCCTTTTCTCTTATTTCCATCACCCTTTCTTTTTTTCTTCCTTTTCTCTTATTTCCATCACCTTTCTTTTTTCTTCCTTTTCTTATTTCCATCACCCTTTCTTTTTTTTTTCTTCCTTTTCTTATTTCCATCACCCTTCTTTTTTCTTCCTTTTCTATTATTTTCCTCAACCTTTCTTTTTTTCTCCTTTTCTCTTATTTCCATCACCCTTTCTTTTTTTCTTCCTTTTCTCTTATTTTCCTCAACCTTTCTTTTTTTCTTCCTTTTTCTCTTATTTCCATCACCCTTTCTTTTTTTTTTTTTCCTTTTCTCTTATTTTCCTCAACCTTTCTTTTTTTTTTTTCCTTTTCTCTTATTTCCATCACCCTTTCTTTTTTTTCTTCCTTTTCTATTATTTTCCTCAACCTTTCTTTTTTTTCTTCCTTTTTCTCTTATTTCCATCACCCTTTCTTTTTTTTCTTCCTTTTCTCTTATTTTCCTCAACCTTTCTTTTTTTTCTTCCTTTTTCTCTTATTTCCATCACCCTTTCTTTTTTTTCTTCCTTTTCTCTTATTTTCCTCAACCTTTCTTTTTTCTTCCTTTTCTCTTATTTCCATCACCCTTTCTTTTTTTTTCCTTTTTTCTCTTATTTTCCTCAACCTTTCTTTTTTCTTCCTTTTCTCTTATTTCCATCACCCTTTCTTTTTTTTCTTCCTTTTCTCTTATTTTCCTCAACCTTTCTTTTTTCTTCCTTTTCTCTTATTTCCATCACCCTTTCTTTTTTTTCTTCCTTTTCTCTTATTTTCCTCAACCTTTCCTTTTTCTTCCTTTTCTCTTATTTCCATCACCCTTTCTTTTTTTTCTTCCTTTTTCTCTTATTTCCATCACCCTTCCTTTTTTCAACTTTTTTTCTCTTATTTCCATCACCCTTTCTTTTTTTTCTTCCTTTTTCTCTTATTTCCATCACCCTTTCTTTTTTCATCTTTTTTCTCTTATTTCTATCAATCCTTTCTTTTATTCCTTCCTTTTTCTGTTGTTTCCATCACCCTTCTTTTTTCTTCCTTTTTCTCTTATTTCCATCACCCTTTCTTTTTTTCCTTCGTTTTTCTCTTGTTTCCATCACCCTTTCTTTTTTTTTCTTCCTTTTTCTCTTGTTTCCATTACCCTTTCTTTTTTGTCTCCCCTTTTCTCTTATTTCCATCACAACTTTCTTTTTTTTTCCTTCGTTTTTCTCTTATTTCCCATGCCGCTCCATTTCTCTATTTCTTTTTCTCTACCACACCAGCCTAATATTCCTTCCTTCCTTCCTTTCTTTCTTTCTTTCTTTCTTTCTTTCTTTCTTTCTTTCTTTCACAGTCGCATGCTTACTTAATATAATCTAATATTTATTCAATTAATGGGCAAATTCATATGAAAATTGCATAAATAAAACAATGTTTTTACAAGCTTCCTATAAAAGAAAACAGTTAAATCGCATTTAAAACGTGACAAGCGCCGGCAATTAGAGACGGAGGGTGTTATCAATTACCTTTTTTTTTTTCCACTACTATTACTGCTGCTAAAATTACATGAACGGTGGGGTGGGTCGGTGTTGAAATCAGTTCGATCCTCATTGGGTGTTCTTAATGAAGAAATTTCGGTTTGATTAAGAAAATATTACTTAATACAAGTCTAGTAAGATCGAGATAATTCTAGAGAACAGACACTTTTGGGGAAGCCAGTTCGGAACCATCTTAGCAGAATGGTATTTCAAGATTTGTCTCCTGGAATTGTCTGATCGCATCTAAACCAAGCGTTACCAAACCGCGATACGCTTACCCCTAAGCGTAGGCAAGAGAAATTTAGCGAGAACACAATCGAATTTCTCGGCATTTCACCCATTTTTATGATTAGAATTTCGCGAAACTTCTGACTTTTTTTCCGATAGAAGGAGACAACTTGCTTTCTGTATTACCTTTTTGATTAAGAAAACACAGTGGGGTAGGGTCTAAATATATTGGTTGCCAGGAGACAAAGGGGGCCCACCCAAAATTATAGTACTGTCATTTAAATTACATAACGAATAAATAAAATTTTCAGCACGTACAAATGGAAAAAATGACTACAATTAAAATTTTTACGGCAAAAATGTATATTTCTTAATAATTACAGTATTATATTCCGTGCTAAGGAAATAAATAAGTAACACCAAGTGGATACTAAAGGAAAGGTTTATTGTACACAACAAGTACAATATGAAATACGGTACAGTTATACACACAAGTCAATCTAGTAGTGAGTGTCACTAATTGGAAGATCGGACGTGCTGATATTTAACAGTCCCCCTACTAGGAGTGTGTGTGTGGCACAAGGCCGAGTTTAAAGTGTGTTTTTCCGAGCCCGTAGGCTCAGCCAAAAATATTCCTTTTGAACCCGCATGAGCGGGTTCGGGATCTGTCTGCCTTCCCGGGGCGAAACTTTGTCCTTTGGCAAAGCCTCGTCCGGATTACTCTCTGCCAAAGGAGAGAGTTCGATAGAAGTCGCGCAAAATCAAAGACTGCGGGCCGACTAACGAACATCGGACGTGCTTGCGTCGTCTCTCGGAATGTCGACTTTATAGGTACTTACTACTTATCGTGTAATCATTCATGGGGGGGACTGCTTATTCCATTACATAATACAGTGTCCATGCACTGTACATATTACTGGCAGTAGATATTGAATTTAAATACAGAATGTTATAATTGAATTATTTTTTTTTTATTTTAAATAATTGTTTGATATTTTGAAATACTTTACTAAAAAATTTATATATTTTGCATAGTACAAAATCCCAATAGACATCACATTCAGTCCAAGAATTAAGAGCAATCGTTTGTGTTAAGCTAGATGATTCTTCGAATCTGCCAATAATTGCTTCTGCATCCAATTAATCTGACAATTCTTTTTCAATGGAACAATTCCTTTTCAACCATATGTATGATTCCAGATTCTCTCCAGACAATAAATTTCTTTATTTTGTCTTTATGATCTTTAGCTTTCAAAATGTCCTCTTACGTTGGACTTGAGTAACTGACAGTATGACTTCATAACGTTCTTATTCATGTTTTTATTGCTAAAACAGTTGTCTCTTTGTTTATTGCATTTTTCATCTAATATAGGGGATTCCCTCTATCAGGCACCCACTTGTGATCAAACAAGCTGACACCTTGGATAGTTCACCACTGACAACATATTCGGAATTACCTTTCGAATTAATACCAGAATTTTTCCACGCAATTTGCAACATGAATTTCCCGAGTCTTTGAACGAATCAATGGCCAAAGGTCATTTTAAATTATCTTCCTCCACCGGTCAAATTCTTGGGGGTTACGGCAAACTCATACCCATCTATATCTAAAAAATATGTATAGAAAGTATTTTGCTCTTTGCATCGACCTACTCTTATGAGCAAGACTGTTCAGCAATCAATAGCAGATTTCGTACAAGACTGTCAATTTTAAATGATACACCTATGTGTCTCTTTTAAACGATTCACAGAATGGATTTTCTCGTTGAAAACGGCCAAGTTTATCTAATTCATAAAATGTGTAACAAAATATTGAATAAAACTAAACAAAACATATTTATCTTTGATCTATTCTGTGGCATTCACGCATTTTGTACGCTATACTTTTCAAAATGGCGGACGTATTTTTATTTTAACTTTCTTCAAAAAGAGAATTATTTTTATTAGACTATTTTTAAGTTGAAGAGAAAAACAAAGACATTCAGGTTTGCTGTTTTGTCCAGGTGTTTTAGAATAATTATTTATATTTTAGCTTTCTTTAAACAAACAATATTTTAAATATTTAAAAAATATTTTTGGCATATTTAAAAACATATCTTTAAGTGAATATGATTTAAAAATATGTTTTTGCTTATTAAAAAATATTTTAAAGTTAAACTGATTTAAAGTTCAAGTTTATCCTGGAAGTTTTATTCCTGTTAAATGCTGTAACCTATCAGAAAGACTTTAAACTTGTAAACCAGACCAATGATGACATGAACGAATTGAAATATTTAACTGAATCATAGTAAAATTAAGTTTCAATCAACTTAATTGTTTTAAAACCTGAACTGTCAGTGACCCAAGGGATCATGGGTAGTCTAGTATTCACCAAAAGTCAGCTAACACATTTCAAAGTTTTCGGTAACTGATTTACAGAGCGTCACACAGCATTTGATAGAAGCGCATTATTCGACTTTGTCAACCATCATAAAGATTGCAGAGCCGTTCCAAAGCAACGTTCCAAGCCCACTATAATAATTGAACATGAGTACAACTGCTATTTGCCTACAGGCAGACTGACTCAGTAAGCTGAAAACCAATGAACATTATGAAAGCGCTTATTTCCGTTGAAATATACAATCACATGTACAGTCCGAGAACTTTCTGATATTACCTCATAGACAGATAGATAGATAGATAGATCCGAATAGACTCTGCTAGAGAAATTACTAAATTCAGATAGAGAGATAGATAGAGAGAGAGAGAGAGAGAGGGGGGAATGATAGAGAGAGAGAGAGAGAGATCCGAATAGACTCTGCTAGAGAAATTATTAAATTCAGATAGAGATAGATAGAGAGAGAGAGAGAGAGGGGGAATGATAGAGAGAGAGAGAATAATAGACTCTGCTAGAGAAATTACTAAATTCAGATAGAGATAGATAGAGAGAGAGAGAGAGAGGGGGGAATGATAGAGAGAGAGAGAGAGAGATCCGAATAGACTCTGCTAGAGAAATTATTAAATTCAGATAGAGAGATAGATAGAGAGAGAGAGAGAGAGAGGGGGGAATGATAGAGAGAGAGAGAGAGAGAGAGAGAGATCCGAATAGACTCTGCTAGAGAAATTACTAAATTCAGATAGAGAGATAGATAGAGAGAGAGAGAGAGGGGAATGATAGAGAGAGAGAGAGAGAGAGAGATCCGAATAGACTCTGCTAGAGAAATTACTAAATTCAGATAGAGAGATAGATAGAGAGAGAGAGAGAGAGAGGGGGGAATGATAGAGAGAGAGAGAGAGAGAGAGCCGAATAGACTCTGCTAGAGAAATTACTAAATTCAGATAGAGAGATAGATAGAGAGAGAGAGAGGGGGAATGATAGAGAGAGAGAGAGAGAGAGAGAGAGAGAGATCCGAATAGACTCTGCTAGAGAAATTATTAAATTCAGATAGATACATAGATAGATATTAGGTTGGTGCAAAAATAATGACGTAATAATATCGTTTTTTACGTATTTTTTAACGTCAAAAAACGACATTATTATGTCATTATTTTTGCACCAACCTAATAGATAGATAGATAGATAGATACGAATAGACTCTGCCAGATAAATGACTAAATTCAGATAGATAGATAGAGAGAGAGAGAGAGAGAATATCTAGCAATAGTGGATTTCAAATCAAACATTAGAAGTTACTGATCGATATATTTGCGAATTCAGTTAAAAAAAAATTTCTTTCAATTGTATTTGCGGATATTGAATTTGGAGCCGAAAATGTTTGAGAACGCCTTCACTGATTGATGAAAGATGTGGAAAAATATATGGAAGATCATTTGCTGTCCCAAAGAATTTACCGTTGTGGACAACGTTTTTCACCCTTTTGTATAATCGAAACTAAATTTTGCAATAAACTTCTAAATCAAGAGACACGTGAGTAAAATGTAATGGTTTGTCAAGTCTCTTAGAATTTCATCACTTCGCATCTTGATGAGTTGAATTTCGCGACCTTTCTGTTTTTTTCGCGATAAAAAGAGACATTCTACTTTCTGTATACTTCCCATGATTAAATGGAGAGACTTTGTTTTCTGTATTCTTCCTATTATTATAAAGAGAGAATTTGTTTTCTGTATTCTTCCTATGATTAAATAGAGAGACTTTGTTTTCTGTGTTCTTTCTATGATTAAATAGAGAGACTTTCTTTTCTGTATTCTTCCTATGATTAAATAGAGAGACTTTGTTTTCTGTATTCTTTCTATGATTAAATAGAGAGACTTTCTTTTCTGTATTCTTCCTATGATTAAATAGAGAGACTTTGTTTTCTGTATTCTTTCTATGATTAAATAGAGAGACTTTCTTTTCTGTATTCTTCCTATGCTTAAGTAGAGAGACTTTCTTTTCTGCATTATTCCTATGCTTAAATAGAGAGACTTTGTTTTCTGAATTCTTCCTATGATTAAATAGAGAGACTTTCTTTTCTGAATTCTTTCTATGATTAAATAGAGAGACTTTCTTTTCTGAATTCTTCCTATGCTTAAATAGAGAGACTTTCTTTTCTGTATTCTTCCTATGATTAAATAGAGAGACTTTGTTTTCTGTATTCTTTCTATGATTAAATAGAGAGACTTTCTTTTCTGTATTCTTTCTATGATTAAATAGAGAGACTTTCTTTTCTGAATTCTTTCTATGATTAAATAGAGAGACTTTCTTTTCTGAATTCTTCCTATGCTTAAATAGAGAGACTTTCTTTTCTGTATTCTTTCTATGATTAAATAGAGAGACTTTCTTTTCTGTATTCTTCCTATGCTTAAATAGAGAGACATTGTTTTCTGAATTCTTCCTATGATTAAATAGAGAGACTTTGTTTTCTGTATTCTTCCTATGCTTAAATAGAGAGACTTTCTTTTCTGTATTCTTCCTATGATTAAATAGAGAGACTTTGTTTTCTGTATTCTTCCTATGCTTAAATAGAGAGACTTTGTTTTCTGTATTCTTCCTATGTTAAATTTTGTTTTCTGTATTCTTTCTATGATTAAATAGAGAGACTTTGTTTTCTGTATTCTTTCTATGATTAAATAGAGAGACTTTGTTTTCTGTATTCTTTCTATGATTAAATAGAGAGACTTTCTTTTCTGTATTCTTCCTATGCTTAAATAGAGAGACTTTCTTTTCTGAATTCTTCCTATGCTTAAATAGAGAGACTTTCTTTTCTGTATTCTTTCTATGATTAAATAGAGAGACTTTGTTTTCTGTATTCTTTCTATGATTAAATAGAGAGACTTTGTTTTCTGTATTCTTCCTATGCTTAAATAGAGAGACTTTGTTTTCTGTATTCTTCCTATGCTTAAATAGAGAGACTTTCTTTTCTGTATTCTTTCTATGATTAAATAGAGAGACTTTGTTTTCTGTATTCTTTCTATGATTAAATAGAGAGACTTTCTTTTCTGTATTCTTCCTATGATTAAATAGAGAGACTTTGTTTTCTGTATTCTTTCTATGATTAAATAGAGACTTTTGTTTTTCTGTATTCTTCCTATGATTAAATAGAGAGACTTTGTTTTCTGTATTCTTTCTATGATTAAATAGAGAGATTTTCTTTTCTGTATTCTCCTATGCTTAAATAGAGAGACTTTGTTTTCTGTATTCTTCCTATGCTTAAATAGAGACTTTGTTTTCTGTATTCTTCCTATGATTAAATAGAGACTTTGTTTTCTGTATTCTTTCTATGATTAAATAGAGAGACTTTGTTTTCTGTATTCTTTCTATGATTAAATAGAGAGACTTTCTTTTCTGTATTCTTCCTATGCTTAAATAGAGAGACTTTGTTTTCTGTATTCTTTCTATGATTAAATAGAGAGACTTTCTTTTCTGTATTCTTCCTATGCTTAAATAGAGAGACTTTCTTTTCTGTATTCTTCCTATGCTTAAATAGAGAGACTTTCCTTTCTGTATTCTTCATATGCTTAAATAGAGAGACTTTCTTTTCTGTATTCTTCCTATGCTTAAATAGAGAGACTTTGTTTTCTGTATTCTTTCTATGCTTAAATAGAGAGACTTTCTTTTCTGTATTCTTTCTATGATTAAATAGAGAGACTTTCTTTTCTGTATTCTTCCTATGCTTAAATAGAGACTTTGTTTTCTGTATTCTTTCTATGATTAAATAGAGAGACTTTCTTTTCTGTATTCTTTCTATGATTAAATAGAGAGACTTTCTTTTCTGTATTCTTCCTATGCTTAAATAGAGACTTTGTTTTCTGTATTCTTTCTATGATTAAATAGAGAGACTTTCTTTTCTGTATTCTTTCTATGATTAAATAGAGAGACTTTCTTTTCTGTATTCTTCCTATGATTAAATAGAGAGACTTTCTTTTCTGTATTCTTTCTATGCTTAAATAGAGAGACTTTGTTTTCTGTATTCTTTCTATGATTAAATAGAGAGACTTTGTTTTCTGTATTCTTTCTATGATTAAATAGAGAGACTTTGTTTTCTGTATTCTTCCTATGATTAAATAGAGAGACTTTCTTTTCTGTATTCTTCCTATGCTTAAATAGAGAGACTTTGTTTTCTGTATTCTTCATATTATTATAAAGAGACATTTTGCTTGTTTGTATTCTTCCTATAATTAAAATCAGTTATTTTGCATTCTGTATTCTTCCTATGATTCAAAAGAGACAATTTGCTTTTTGCGTTCTCCCGGCCATTAAAACGAAACATTTTTTATTCTGTAGTCTTCCTCTGATTAACAGCTCATTCGGAATTCCTTCTGAATTAATCCCAGATCTCATCCAGACAATATACAAAATGAATCTGTTTATATTTCTGAGATGAGGTATTATGTACACTATTTACATTATTTCAACTATTGTCTTAATCTTTGTCGCCATATTGATTACAACGTTTCGACTGTTGTACGTTCCGGCTTTCGTCAGAATGTTGGAACAATTATGGTGACAAAGATGAGGACAATAGTCCGGATAATGTAAGTAGTATAAAAAATGAAAGTTGTAGAATTATTGAATGACTCAAAAACCGGAAACTACTTAACTGATAATAAAGAGAAGCTGTGGAGACCCATGATTACATACGTTTTCAAATGACATGGCATGTAAAGAAATATCCTCCTATCACTAAAAGTCGTTACATTATTTTGACGCACTTTTCCATTGTTATTTTTGCGAAATGAGATCTTCTTCTTCTTCTTCTTCTTTGTCGTGTCACTTCAGTACATGGGCTATCATGGCTTTCCACAATTTCCTGTCCTTTGTAGCTCTTAGTAAATTTTGTCTTTTTGCTCTCCTAAACTCTGTTCTTCCATCCATTAACTCAAACTCTCTAAGTTGGTTACTCGCCATTTTCCTCTATCTTGCTTACTTTCAACATGTCTTGTGAGTCTCAAAATTTTGAAGCCCTCTTTCCTCGTAATTTTCACTAGAAATTTCCATTGTCTTTCTCCGATGTTAAGTATAAGTGCCAATTTTTCTTTCCATTTTCTCTAAAACTCGATAGTTGCTTGCATGTTCAGTCTATAGCATTCTCAGTATTTTTCTGTAGAATCACATTACTGTTCCCTGGAGTCTCTTCTGCATCTGTGAGGAGGTTGTTCAGCATTTAGTGCCATATAGGAAGACCGATATTACGTAACATTTTAGCACTCTTTTTGTTGTTTCTAACGAAAGTTTCTTGTTTTTAAGAATTTGCTCGTATTTTTGGAAGGCATCTTTCGCTATCATAATGCGATTTCAGTGTCGCATTTTCCTTTCTCTCTTCCCAGGTATTTAATATTTTTTTCTTCTCTTACTAATATTAAATGCATAAACCAGAAAGCCCTCTGGACATTGACGGTGAAATGAGAGTCCATTTTCTCGTGGAAGATTTAACAGAGAAAATATCACGACGGCGTTCTTGATAGGCTCCAAAGGCGGATATGCAATATAATTGGCCCTGTTCTGGCATCTCGTCTACAGTCGCTCTCTCACAGACGCGCCATCGCCTCTCTCTGTCTTTTTTACAAATACTTTCATGGTAATTGCTCCGATGAGTTGCTTTCACTGGTTCGCAGACTTCATGAGCTCAAGCGCCCTACAAGGCTGGCATCCCGCTCTCACCCTTTCACTGTCGAAACTACTAAATGTAGCCGTCTCTTCTACTCCAATAGCTTCATGTCTCGCACCTCTCGCCTGTAGAACTCCCTTCCCTATTCCAGTTTCCCTGAGAGCTATAATCTCCAACTATTCAAATATAATGTCAATCGACATCTTCAGTTGCCTTGATCTATCCACTATTCTTCTCCTCATCCTTTCCTCTATCACTCCTATCTGATCTTGCTCCAAATCTTCTGTAACCCCTTGCGTCCTAGTGGCTTCCCGCCTTGCTTGGAGGAAAACGCTTAAAAAAAAAAAAGAAACCTCAAAACCCGTGTTTCTCGCTATTAACTATTCTTATTTTATTTAATTAAAAAAAAAGTAATTATTGATAATTACCTGCAAGTCAAATTCTTCTTTTTTTTTAAAGTTTAATGATAAAAGGACGGAGGCAGAATGGGGTAATACCGGCTCGGATTGTGAGTTCGAATTTCAGTCGAATCCATTACATTCACTTAGGTGCTAATACCCTTGGGAAAGGTATGAATCCTCTTCGTCTCCTCCCCCACCAACACCAGCTATGGGTAAATAGCAGGACAGGCCGAATTCTGTCCTTTGTAGATCTTAGTAAATTTTGTCTCCCGCAGAAAGAAATGGCAACTTTGCCGGACACTGCTGGAAAAATGAAGGAGAACCTTGTATTAAAGTACTTCTCTGGAAACCATCGCATTGTCATAAGAGCGCTTTTGGATTGATTTATTGACTTGTTTTATATGTGTTATCCATCTTTTGCAGGATATTTAAAACCAGAAAATATTTTTAGACTGTAACAATTTTTGTAATTAATAATGATTTATTGATACAAGTCGTACTAATTAAACCCATCATTTAATGGGGGAAGAAGGAGATTCATATTCTTTCCAAGGGTATTTGCAGATAATAAGTTAATAAAACAAACCTACAGGAACCTACTGTTCTCTGACTTCCTGTTCCTTGACTGATCCATTACACCATCCGCATATCTAAGCTTACAGCGACTGGTATTCCTGGCTTCTCCTATAGCAAAATGGTATAGCACGTCAACCTATATGACGGTTCAGTGTAGGATACAGGTTCGGTCCATGTCAGAGCATGCATATTTTCTACGAAAATTTCTTGGACATGAAAGCCGTTAAATATTGTTAATACTGTTTATTATAAACAGAGCATTTACTTATAATATTTGTATCTATAAAAAGAACGTATAAACATAAAAAAATGTCTTAAAATAATTCTCTGACTGTCCACTTCATAATGTGTAACGTCATTTGTTTACATTTGGATACGCATCGAGCAGATATGATTGTACGAGTGAAAATCATGGAGAATTGTAGTTTAAAAACAATAAAATCGACCTTGCTGACCGAAACGCTCCTCTGTGGCTCAGTCGGTAAAGCACGTCAGGCTATATGACGGTTACGTATAGGATACAGGTTCGATTCCTGTCGGAGGACGCATATTTTCTATGAAAATTTCTCGGACATTCAGGCCGGTAAATGTCGTTAATACTGTTTATTATAAACAGGGCATTTACTTAAATATTTGTATGTATAAAAATAACGTATTAAAATAATGTATTTTTTGCGTCTAGCTTTACTGGCTATCATAACTGTAAGTACATTTTACAATTAATGTATATTTCTATTCATTTATAATAATTTTCGACTAATTTTCTAATCCCAACTAATTTTCAGATTCTACATTGATTCTACATTATGGCGAGTTGGTATTGATGTGATCATAGTGTAATAGGGTGATTTACTTGACCTCCCCCACACCCCACGGAATGAGGTTGTGAAACAAAGTCGGTTTAACATGGGGAACCCGAGCGCGTACACTCGGGCTAAGAATAAAAATTATCTGTTGCACTGGCCTCTGTGCGAGCACTAATCCTTCTCTCTAGTGCAATGAGAAGGTGCAGCCACGGGCAGGGTTGGGCACCTCACAGTGTGATTTTCCTCAGTTGCGCCACTTTCTCCCGACGGAGCCGCAACTGAGCCGCACTCTGCCCGAAGTCAGAGACGCAACTAAGAGATAATAAATAAAACATACCTGTCTGTGGCAGGGATTGATACAAGGAAACTAAGTACGCAAGGGTGTGGTCGGGAGGGACCATAAACATGAGTCACTTTTTATTCCATTTAATAAATTGCTCTTTTTATTATTGCTCTCTTTATCGAAATGCACTTAAATTACACATGTGTGCCACTAACGGTCCGTAGAAAGATTACATGAAAACGATCCGTGGTATATTAAAAAAAAAGGTTGGAGACCCCTGCTATAGAATGCAACAGACACCTGAGAAAAGCAAGAGAATAGGACAGACGAAATGTTGCAGAAACGGGTTCGAAGAAAATATTTTATAATAAGAACATATCACCTCAGGAATTCAGACAGAGATCTTGATAGTAATATTAATGGCGCCAGTAAGCGAGATAAAAATGGCGTCTAATCTGACAGTTCAAGTTATTCTAGGTTTAGGCTTCTTTATTTTTATTTTATTTTTTTTATTTTTTTTGACAACTTGATGTTGCTCGTGGCAAGGCCGGTGTTAATAAATTTAAACGAGACGGGAGATAAATGCTTTCATTCTTATTAGTGAATATGCTATCTATTTAAAAAGAAGATAGGAGCGGACTTTAATTGGTATTATAAAAAATAAATTCACTCTAAGCAAGGCGATAATGTCACTAAGAAGCAAGGGTCTACTGGGAGTGAGATAGAATGAGAAGTTTTGGGAAAGAATCGGAAACCCAATCTTAAACAGGAATCAAGGGATACACTTCTACTTTTATTAAAAAGACCGGAGAGGATCGTGAATCGAATGGGAGGCGAAACTATCTACTCTCATTGAAGAAAATAATAATTTTAAAAATTGTAAATAAAATTGCAGTGGTCAGATGTAGATGTTAGGAGTTACAGTAGATTTTTTTCTTGTTAAAATTTTGAACATTTATACTACATTCAACATTATGGATAAAAAAAAATAGTGAATTTTCCATAATGTTTTTAGCGTGACTCAGCAAAAGCGAAATAAATTCACGGATTTGGCAATAAAAGACTCCAGAATGACATCAAATTCTGCGAAAATCTGTCATCCTTTAATAATTGTCAGTTATGCTTAGTTTAATTATGAGGAACCGGGAATACAATCCTGAACCCGAGGTAAGAGATAAACCTCTACTCCTGTTCAAAAAACTGAGGAGGAATGTACACCGGACAACAGGTGAACTTATCTACTCTCGAATGTATGGTGTTGAGTCGAAAAAATAGAACGATTAAAAAAATAATAAATGTTTTTATTCTTATAAAAAAAATCAGAAAGAAGGTGTATGTGATCCTCCATTACGGTTGTAGAGGCATCACATTTACCGCTGCCATAGCAGAAATGGTATGTTTAAGGCAAGAGAAACATCCCTACCCCCCCCATTAGAATGTTTGACGCCCAACTTCTCGAGAGTTCCTCTTTGCGACTACCCGGTCTCACATTAACTGCTGACCTGAGATGGAACAAATACATTCAGTCAATAGCTTCATCCACCGCAAGGAAATTTGGCCCCCTGTGCCGCGTCAGGAATTTTTTCTCGCCAGAGTTGATCCTTCAAATCTACCAATTCGCCCTTGCATAGAGTATTGCTGCGATATATGGTCTGGAGCACCTTCTGTTTGTCTCAAGGTCCTTGATAAGATCCGAAAACAGATATGCAATGTAATTGACCCTGATCTGGCATCTCGTTTGCAGTCGCTCTCTCACGGACATGCCGTTGCTTCCCTCTGTCTTTTTTACAAATACTTTCATGGTAACTGCTCCGATGAGCTGCTTTCGTTTGTTCACAGACTTCATGAATTTAAGCGTTCTACTAGGCTGGCATCTCGCTCACACCCGTTCACTGTCGAAACTGTTAAATGTAACCGTCTCTTCAATGCCAGTAGCTTCATGCCCCGCACCTCTCACCTGTGGAACTCCCTACCCTTTTCCTGTTTCCCTGATATCTATAATTTCCAACTATTCAAATGTAATGTCAATCGATATCTCCAGATGCCTTGATCTATCCCCTATCCTTCTCTTCATCCTTTCCTCTATCACTCCTATTTGGACTCCCTCCAATTCTCTGTAACCCCTTGTGTACTAGTGGCTTCCCGCCTTTCTTTGGGTGAAACGCTTAAAAAAAAAAAGATAGTCCGACGAAGCCTAGCCCCGTACAGCCTAGTTTTGAATTCAGAGTTTTCTTCTCCTAGACCGGTTGTCGCATCAAGGCAAGAGAGCTTGTTCTGCTATTTAACCCATAACTGGAGGAAGTTGGATCCAAGGGCAGTCGCGTGAAATGAACGAAACTGAAATTGAACTCGGCACCCCAAATTCGTTTTCCGTGTCGATATAAATGATACTATCTGCGCCTTATACCAATTAGAAAGTAAACTAACTGATAGTCGTTTGTACCAAATACAAATACTATCTGACTGGGCGGATACAAATCTGTGCTATGCCTCCCCAAACCCAATGTATAATACGGCTCCAACTCTACTGCATTTCAATTTTCATTCATGTAAAATAAAAATCTTATTGTAATCTAATTATGTACAATAATGGATCATATGCAATATAGGTGAACAATTCAAACAGAAAAATTGAAAATAAATAACAATGTATCTAAATACAATTTAGAAACATGTCACAAAAGATGATTTTTTTTTTTTTCTTTTTTTTCTTCTTTTTTTTGATAATCATTTCACCCCAAGCAAGGCGGTTATGCCACTAGTACGCAGATGGTTACAGGGAGTAAAAATGAAGACTGAGAATAGGGAGGATTGAGGAAAGAACAAAAACTGAACGGGATTCAAGAAGAGAAAAGAAGGCGATTGACGTTGTTTAAGCATTTTAAGGTTTAAGCATGAAGCAGTCAGCACTGGGTGTTGATTTCCACTTTTGTATTTACATACACTATCGCTGATATTGAAATCTTTAACCCATAAATATAGAAAACCTTAAAACTATATTTTTATAATAATAATAAAAATAATTTCTGATTTTATAATTTTGACTTTGACACACAGATTCACAAAAAAAAACTATTGCAACCAGAGCCAGTGCAAGGGTTTTGTGCCCCCACCAAATCTATGACAGCCCCTCACTTGATTACATTTAAATTTTCATAAGGTACTATTTATATAAAATAAAAAATTTATTGTAACCTAATTACATACAATAATTATGTACAATCATCTGCAATATAGGTGAACAATTCAACCACAAAAATTGAAAATAAATAACAATGTATCTAAATACAAAATTTTGAACGAGTACATTTTTGTTTTTAAATAATTATAAAATACTTATATTCTTTCCTCTTAATAATAATACAAAGATTTTGTCGATAAAACTTTTTTTCATCATGGCGTGTTTTTTTTTCAGTGATTTAGTGGAGGTAATTGAAGCAGTGGCGACTTTAGGTCATCAATGCTTGTCGGGCTCATTACAATCTTTAACAAAAACTACTATTGATATAACTTAGATGCTAAAATGAGTCCTTTAGTCTAACTAAAATATATATATTTTTAAAAATCTCTGTGCATAAAATTTAAAAAAAAACACATTTTGGTATTTTAATATTAATTATAATAACTGTATAAAAATAAACAATTATTTTTTTTAAAAAATCATGACATTTTAGAAAAAAGTGTGAGGACAAAGTCTTTAATATATTTGTTTGTTTAATGCTCCCTTTCCATTATTTTTATTGTTTTAAAACCATTTTATCAAGTCACTCATGATAGGCATTTATTTATTGGGGTTAAATTATTTTGCTAAATAGATAAATAGATAAATAAACGACTTCCGGCAAAACGAATGCTGAAACAGAAGGTAAAAAATAAGATTTAAAATGATAGGAGAGAAGAAAGGTATATATAAAAAGAGGCGGAAAATTGTAAAAATAATACAAATTAGACATGTCATAATATATCCTTCCATCTTAAATCATTAGAGACATGTCATAATAGATCATTCCATCTTAAATAAATCAATGTTTTGCGGTAATTTTTGATATCGACTCGAGATTTTTTTTGTTAAAAAGTTGAACAATTATAATACATTCAATATTATGGATAAAAAAAAATCGTGAATTTTATATAATATTTCTTTTGAAACTTAGATGAGCAAAATAAATTCACGAATTCGGCAAAAAAAGACCCTAGAATGACGTTAAATTCTGCGAAAATCTGTCACCCTTTAATAGCTGTCAGTTCTACTTAGTTTAAATTGTAACTTATATAAATGTAGCTAGGAAAAAGCAAATGTTGATAAGATAGCGAGAGTCAAAAAGCACTGCCTGGGGTCCCCAGTCAGGTTTAGGCCTCTAGGTCAGAGGCGGTGATGGGGGTTGTAAGCACAGACTCTGCCATCTGGAACAGTCATGCCGATGGAGATATTTCAAATTATAAAATAAGCATGTCGGCTCAAAACATACGTTTCCGCCGGGAAATTTTAGTTAAGTTAAATAAACGTGGAACTAAATCATATATTTGAACAATAATTAGCGTGTTATTAAAAAATTAATTATAATAAAGATATAATTTAACACATACCAGCAATTATGTTTGATATTTAGAAGCATGGCGTCAAATTTACATTCAGAAAGTCGACCCAAGATTGAACGATTAAAACCAAACGTCTTTTTCCATACAATTCTTAATATATGAACGTGAAAAACAATATGGATAAAAACAAGTTTTACTGATTTCAAAGTGCCGATGATTGACTCCCATGGGAAAGTATTAAGATTTTCAAATGGCGTATAATTTTTAATAAATCATTGATTAATCAAAAGCCAACATTTTCGTAAGGCACATACTTTTCAAAACATGGCGGACACGAATGTATAAGAGGGAAATAAATGATTTTAACAGCACAAGCATCACAAATATAGATTAGATCATTGCTGCTCAAAATGTGGTACGCGTACCGATGTTGGTACGCGAAACATCGTCTGCAGAGAGTTTCAAGGAAAACAAAAAAACAGTAGTCACATTACACGGCACTGGGAGACTGACGGGACATCTGACACGGTTTTTTTTTTTAACATTTTCATTTTAGTTTTATATTTATTATGGTTACATTTTTCAATTACTCACACATATTAAAAGTCATTGCTATACAACTAACGAATACGATATAATGAACGGCAAACATTTTTATTTTTACGTATTTATTTATTGGCGTTTAAAATAAATAATATATATATATATATAACCTACTTTATAAATTATAATTTTGAAATTCATTACTTAAACAGTGGCTCGGTCCACGAATTTAATTCGTTGCTGATGGCTGTTCGTAACCCGAAATGTTCGTAAACTGAAACTATTTTTATTGTAGGAATCAATGTAGAGAAAAAAATGTCAGAGTAAAATACAACTAGAAGAGAAAGGCACAGCACAACACACGAATGTACACAACATGGCGGTCGACTAAGAAATGATTGCGTTCGGGTTAATTCAGTTCGGCAATGTTGTTCAAGAACCGAAATTTTGTTCGATAACCGAAGCATTTTCATTTCGAATTTTCTCTTCGAAAATCGATTTGTTCGAGATGTGAGAGGTTCAAGAACCGAGGTATATACAGATGTTAATATCTATTTCAGAAGACTTTGCTAGTTGATTTGTTAATACATTTTATTTATATTATAATAATGAATTATTTTTCTTGGATCGTTATTATATAATTATATGGCAAAAGTATGGCACCTGCTTCTGGCACGCTGGGAAGACGTGTTACTCAACATGGCGGTCGACTGATTCCGTTCGGGTTAACTCGGTTCGGCTTGGTTCTGCAATGTTGTTCAAGAACCGAAATTTTGTTCGATAACCGAAGCATTTTCATCTCGAATTTTCTCTTCGAAAACCGAGTTGTTTGACATGTGAGACGTTCGAGAACCGAGGTTGCTCTGTATATACATATGTTTATATCTGTGTCAGAAGACTTTGCTAGTTGATTTGGCAATATTTTTTATTTATATTATAATAATGAATTATTTTTTCTTGGATTGTTATTATATAATTATATGGCACAAATATGGTACCGGTCTCTGGCACGCTAGGGGGAAGACGTGTTACGTCAAGGATGACTGGCCTTAAAATGAATAAGACATCATATTCTCATGTTTAGTACAGATAGTTTCAAATTGACCTTGGGACAGGACATAACTTTAAAAGAATTTGGATGGGTGTTCCACAGCGCATCCCATGGGACTGTAAATTACTGTGAAAAAAAAAACTGCCGTTACGCTACATTAGATAGTTTGAGAAGCACTGGATTAGATTATTAGTAAAAAGAGGAAAGAAAAGATTCGGTATGAATAGAGAAGGCTTATTTCATAAAATCATTTTCTTTGTTTTAGTTCAAAGAGAATAAAAAATATGGGTAAACATGGACTATTGCGCCTCAAAGAAAACCGAATATCAAAAGGAAACCGCTATTATTTTAACTAACTTCACTTTTAGACAATATTTATTGTTTTAAAAAAGTGATGGTTAGTATTGTAATACAACTTAAACATATGATGAAAGTGAATTTATACATCTTTGGTTCTTGAGAATTGTCAACAAAAATAATAAATACTAATTATTTATTTGATTGTTTATTGGAATGGTTGCCAAAACATCTGCTAACTGCCAATTTATTCGAACTTTATAAAATGGTAAATAATAAAGATTTACTTATAGTTGGTTCACATATTTTAATAATTTAGTAAATGTTTATAAATTTATGTATAAAAACAGTGTTTTTATATTTCTTTCTTTATAAATTGGTAAATATTGTATTGCTTTAGTTTTAATTGTATCAGTTTTAGAATATTGTAAACATAAAATTATTCTTATAAATAAATAAAAAAATCTAATAAATAAGTAGCGTAAAATTTTTGTTGTAAATCTCAAGAACAAAAAGAAAAAATATATAAATTCACTTTCATTTTATGACAATTCTAATCAACGCTTTTAAAAACAACAAACATTTCCGGGGAGTGAAAGCAGCTAATATAAAAGCGGTGTCATGGCAAAAACCGTCCTTTTAATACTCCGTTTTTTTTGGAGGGGGGGTTAAGGGGGGGTCCTGACACGAGTCTCCATGATTGCCACAATATGCATGTGAATGCGCACCCGTCTAAGAAACAGAATTACGGAGGAACAAATCCATTAATAAGCTGCAAATTGTGCTGAGAATATTTCAAGATTGGTTGATAGCTGGTGAGAGGTATGAAGTGACCGATAGATAGATGAGCAGACATAGATAGATAGATAGATAGATAGATAGATAGATGAACAGACATAGATAGATAGATATAAAACAATGTGAACAGATAGATAGATAGATAGATAGATGAACAGACATAGATAGATAGATAGATAGATGAGCAAACATAGATAGATAGATAGAGAGAGAGAGAGAGAGAGAGAGAGATGAACAGACAGATAGATAGATATAAAACGATGTGAACAGAAAGATAGATAGATAGATAGATAGATAGATTATATTAAGATAGATTATGTTAAGATAGATAGATAGACAGACAGATAGATAGATTATATATATATATATATATTTAGATGTATATGTAGATAGATAGATAGATAGATGAGCAGACATAGATAGATAGATAGAGAGAGAGAGAGAGATGAACAGATAGATAGATATAAAACGATGTGAACAGATAGATAGATAGATAGATAGATTATGTTAAGATAGATAGATAGACAGATAGATAGATAGATAGATAGATAGATAGATAGATTATATATATATATATATATATATATTTAAATGTATATGTAGATAGATAGATAGATAGATTATATATATATATATATATATATATTTAAATATATATGTAGATAGATAGATAGATAGATAGATAGATTATATATATATATATATATATATATATATATATATATATATATAAATGTATATGTAGATAGATAGATAGATAGATAGATAGATAGATAGATAGATAGATAGATACCTAAGAGAAAGAATAATTACTTATGATAATGCAGGTCAGTTTTCTCAGTAAGTATTATCCTTCAATGAGAGCGGTACTTCCAAAATGTACAAGTGTTAGTTTCTCCGAATTCTTCTAAAATCTATCGCTACGCTATTGCTCAGGTAGCGCAAATATTCTTCCCAAAAAGCGTATCAGATTGACAACCACAAGATAATTGCCTGAAATATTCCTAATGAAATTCAACATCTTTCCAAAATTCTAAATCAAATCCGGAAGTCAACCAATTTGGCACTCACGAAAGATAATTGGTTATAAAAAAAATACATTTTTGTTGTCTTTTTTCTTTGTTTATAATGTGGCTTTTGCTGAAAATGTCTTTTCCTTAAAAGTCTGGAAACAGAAAAAAAGTTAATGTAAATAGATAAGAAATAAGTTCGTGATAACAGACGTTCTGTTAAATAATGTCCTCCACACTATCCTGTTTTTGTTTTTTGCTTTCGTTTTTTTTTTTTTTAGCGTTGTTCAAGTAAACACAATGAAGACAATAAAGGAGAAAAGTAGAAAAAAATTTTTAAAAAAAAGAGGAAATATAAAATCATTATATCGGAGAAAGAAAGAACTGTACGAGGAAGGAAATGAAAATATAAGTGTGACAACAAGAAAGAAAGAAAGAAAGAAAGAAAGAAAGAAAGAAAGAAAGAAAGAGAAAATAAACGAAAAAGTTCATGAGGAAAGAATAGAAGACGAGAAAAAAGAAATAGCAAGAAAAGAAAATTACTGAAAACTAATTGAATAAACAAAGAAAATATGGAGGAAAAATATGGAGAGACAAAGAGAGAATTTGTTAAACACGCAAAAATAAAAAAAATAACGGAAGAGAATTAAAAATAAGAATCTTATGAATGCGAACACGCAAAAAAATTATAAGTTTATTCAGTTAAAAGCAGAGAGGTCTGCATACAGATAGATAGATAGACTCAGATTGTGATAGATAGATACATGCACTCACACAGATTGTGATAGTGTTGTAGCATACCTACAGAAGATAATGGTCATGACCCCATTTACATAAATACAGTAGTAAATACTGTATGTTGGTCTTCATTGTGGAATTCACTTAAACTCACTTTCAGCAGTTGACAAATTCATTTACTTGCCGCTGGCGAATCTTATATGTGTTGTTCTTGCCCTAAGTATTATCGTTCAATACCAAGCTTCCTGTGATTATTCTATTCGTTAACCTTCACTAAGTTACGATAGATAGATAGATAGATAGATAGATAGATAGATAGATGCATACAAATTGCCATAGATAGATACATTCATACACACAGATGGTCATAGATAGATGTACACAAATAGATAGATGTACAGAGATTGTGATAGATAGATAGATAGATAGATAGATAGATAGATAGATAGATAGATAGATAGATAGATGCACACAAATTGTGATAGAATGATGGATGGATGGATGGATGGATGCACAGAAACAAATTGTGATAGATAGATAGATAGATAGATAGATAGATAGATAGATAGATAGATAGATAGATGCACTCACACAGATTGTGATAGATAGATAGTGTTGTAGCATACCTACGCACGATAATGGATTTGTCCACATTCAGATAAATACAGTAGTAAATACTGTATGTTGGTCTGCAGCTGGAGATTCATCGTGGAATTCACTTGACTCACTTCTAGCAGTTGACTAATTCATCTACTTGCCGCTGGCGAATCTTATATGTGTTGTTCTTGCCCTAAGTATTACCGTTCATTACCAACCTTCCTGTGATTATTCTATTCAGTAACCTTCCCTACGTTACGATAAATAGATAGATAGATGCACACAGATTGTGATAGATACATATACGCACACAGATAGATAGATAGATAGATAGATAGATAGATAGATATGAACAGCGACAGATAAATTCTATGACCATTATGATTTAATTTTTAATGATCAGAGACTGCAAAATTTCATTATGATGAAAAGAAGTTGATAGATTTCTGTTTGCTGCACCCGATTGTTAGTACGGAGTCCAAATCCTTTAGTAGCCCTTAGTAGGGCTGCTCTAATAAACAGTTTAATAATATCGGGATATGTTTTAGTGTTATCCCGCGCACAGCTTGCTGTCCCTACTTGTATTTTCTGTTGGCAACCCTGAGGCCTCATTATGCTTTAGTCTTAGCCACCTTCTGGCTAGTTTGGATTGCCATAGACAATACTGATAATTATTTGGGCCTTTTTCTTCTTAAAACAAAATCTTATAACCGACACAATATTCGTGCAAACCAGTAAACAAAGAATCACCTACACATGTCATTCTTTTTCCAATATATGTGGCATTCATTCTAATTTCTGTAGAGGGGACTTTTTCTTTTGACACATTCCCACTTTGCGAAACTAATTTAAATTCATCTATCGCTACCAATGAATTCACTGTTCCAGGCTATCTTCCTCTGTCGAAAAGATTTTAGGATACATATGCATTGATTTGGTGTTTATAATCGGGAAAATCTTCCAATTGCAAGGGAACTGTCTCTTGAGCCCCCAGATGAGTCTTTCGACTTTCGTTATTGCAGTCTGTTAACTCTCTTTTATTCCTTTATCGCCCTCCTTCTTCTCAGGACTATAATAGATTAGACAATATGCATGACAATATAGAAATCTCTCTCTCTCTCTCTCTCTCTCTCTCTCTCTCTCCATTCATCTGCGAACATTTTTGTATTTGGTGATTTTAATACTCGTTACTACGTAAGCATTCTAATGTTACTGATGTTGATAGTATTAAAAATTTAGTTGCTCATTCTCTTACATTCTTTACACTTTTTTCCCAGCCAATTCTGATCAACAAATTTCTCTATTGTTCATTGCCTCCTCTCCTAGCTCTTGTCGGGCATCACAAGTCTGTCTTCTTAGCATTTCGGATCATACAGTAGTATCTGTTGATATTACTTTTGAGTCGTCTATAAGACAGGTCTCTCATAATTCATAAGAATTGTTTCTGTTACCAGCGTAATGATTGGGATTTATTTCGTGACTTTCTTTGACATGACCCCAAGGATTGATATTCTTAACCTTCCTATGGAGAATTATGCCACGGGGGTTTCCTCTTGGGTTAAAGCAGGTATCAATACTTTTGTATCTTCTCAGAAATATCAGGTGAAACCACAATCTTCTCTTCGTTTGACACCGGTTTTTAAGCCGCTATAGCCCACAGGAATCACTTCTTCCTGGCATAAGAGCCTGATAGTACCGATCATAAAAAACGCTTATTTATCCTTCTGTAGAACCACATTTCTGTTAACTCAAGTTTCTTCTTAATCTGTGTGGAGATTGTTCAGTATTTATTGCCCTATCCGACGACCGATATTGGATAACAGATCACTGCTCTTTTTTGTTTATAAAAAATTTTCCTTTTTCTTAATACTTTGCTGAGCTTTTGGAAGGCGTCTTCCGTTATTCTGATTCGGATTTCGATGTCATATTTTTGGTCCTTTGTTCGAACACTACCGGGATTTATAAATCTTAATTTTAGTATCTCCAGTTCGTAGTTCACCTATTGAGGTGCTCCATTTGCTGGCAATAATGCATCATTTTCTAACAGTTCATGTCTAACCCTTTCTTGAAGTTTTTATTTGCTACTTACTTTTAGGAGTTCTTGTAGTTGCGTTTATGTGCCTGCTATCACACACAATGTTGCATTCATATCTTCTGTCGTTAAAGTTTTGTCTGCAAAAAAAAAAAAGAAAGAAAGAAAGAAAGAAAGAAAGAAAGAAAGAAAGAATAAATAAACAAAAAAATCCCCAGGAGGAAAGAATAGAAGACGAGAAAAAGAAATAGTGAGAAAATAAAAATACTGGGTGGAAATTGAATAAACAAAGAAAATATGGAGGAAAAATATGGAACGAGAAAGAGAGAATGAGTTAAACACATAAGAAAAAAATAACGGAATACAAGTAAAAATGGAAATCTTATGAATACGGAGGCAAAAAATATATAAGAGAACCCAGTTAAAAGCAAAGAGGTCTACACAGAATGAGATAGATAGATAGATAGATAGATAGATAGATAGATAGATAGATAGATAGATAGATACGTGCACGCACACAGATTGTGATAGATAGATGTACACAGATAGATAGATAGATAGATAGATAGATAGATAGATAGATAGATAGATAGATAGATAGATGCACACAAATTGCGATAGATACATGCACGCACAAAGATTGTGATAGATAGATGTACATAGATAGATAGATAGATAGATAGATAGATAGATAGATAGATAGATAGATAGCTGTACACGGATTGTGAGAGATAGATAGATAATGAACATAGATAGATAGATAGATAGATAGATAGATAGATAGATAGATAGATGCATGCACGCACAGATATGATTTCTAATTCTCTCAGAGTCACTTCACTGTATAGTTTGAATAAGTCCGGTGAGAAGGTACATCCTTGTCTTTCGTCCCTTTTTTTTTCTATATTTACTGAATTCATTTTCTATTCGTACACAGGTGGCATGTAGCTAGATTGGGTTCCGGATTACACTGATATAGACCTAATGTATTATTTCTGATTCAATAACTATATCGATAATATAAATTTTTAGAAGAACGT